TGTACATATGTACAAGTACACACTGTATGCATGTGCAACCGGCAAATGGGGCGAGGTGATTAAAAATTAGATGTTAAGAATCCCTGGTAGAAAGGTACATGTATTTAGTTTGTCTTAAAATTTAAATACAAAATCATTTTTTATTTAATCAGTTTTGAAATCTCATTGATTTTTTTTATTTGATTTTATGGAATGGGAAATAAATGAAATGAAACTTAATGTAATATGTTACTATTAGTATATGATCAAATTAATCGATTTTAATTTTGCATGGTAAAAAGTTGAAAGGAAAACACCTTTTAATTGATTTCAATTGATCAGAAATCGGTGATCGACCTGTGATTTTGCTGTATTGTTTACAAGTCTTCAGCCCCGGGGTAGAACGGGGTACAACTTGTATATTCCATGCAAATTGTAGTGGTCAGCGTAACAATGGGCACTAATTACCTATTGTTCTTCGTCTGCGGCTACCGGTGTTATCAATGAACAAACTACCTGTAGACACTGTACATGTACTCGCTACTTTGGAACAATCTTAAAGATTATGGTCGCACGAAAAAAAAAACCGTAATATTGAATTTGATGACGAATAAAATTGATAGAAAAAATATTTAGAATAGAACACTTTGGTACTATAATGAAAAAAAAGATATATGCATGTACGAGGGCCGTTCAAAAATTACGCGGACTTGTTGCACAGAAGAAATATTTGATGACATAATCGGGCAAAATTTCACAAATAATATAAAAGAATCTTTACTTATATGGTCTTCAAAATTTCATATAAAAATGTTGTAAATTGGTATTGATTTTGAGTGATTTTTCAGGACATACCATTAAGTCACGGCGCAGCAAAATCTTCGACGTCACAAGCATTATAAAAAATATGGAATTGAGCTTTCATTTTCTTAACATTTTCCCTTGAGTACCTGTATAGTTTGAGTTACCTTATCTACTCAATATCAAAACACCATTTCTTGTCAAGCTTAAAATCTATAAAACAAGTAAAGAATATTCTTTTTGTTTTTTTTGTTTTAAAACCAAAAACTACTTATGAGATATAGTGTGATATTGGTGACTCTCAATCACGTTCTTTACAGTCCGGATAAAGTTAACTTTTCGTCTATAATCTTCTTCCCGTCCTCCCGTATAGCCTTTTTACAGAGGTCTAACTGTCTAAAATTTCAATTTGCTATTTGTGGGCAAATGTCATGAGTAGCCTAGTTTACTACATGTTTTATTATGCATATTTTGGATCTATGCTGCCGATATCTCGAGCATTACACATATTTTAACAAAAGTTTGGTGCGCCGTCAATTCAGGAAACGTCATTTTCACAGTCGTTTTAACGGGAATCGCATCAGAGAAAAATCACTATATTTCTGTTAATACTTCAAATATTACGTCCGAAATCTAAATACATAATAAGAGAACAATTTGAAGGTACATTAGAGATAACTGTTGAAAAATATCGCGAATTATAGAAAATCAATGAGTTAAATTTTTGAATCCGCATGCTTTTGCTTCAATTTTTTTGTCGTGCGCCGTACCTCTCCATCAACGATATCAACATACCGATAATTTTAGTAGAATTTTTTTAAAATACAGAAATTTTGCCCGAAATTTATTGGAATCATTAAGATACATATTACTGTGAAATTTTATAGCTATATGACGTCTGTAAGCGTAAATAATAGCACAGTCCGCGTAATTTTTGAACGGCCCTCGTACATCATGTACGTTGTACAGACTTATTTTCATTATTATTTCAATTCTCAAAGATCTATCTTCTTCAGTATTTAATTTCATTTTTTAGTTTTACGCATATTTCTTCAATCAATCAATCATTTAAATATGAATCTTTTTACCATTTTACTTTAGTATACATAGACCACAAAAACATATAAAATGTATGTGATTTTATACATAACAGTAGGTCTAAAAGGCATGAGTGAATAAGAAACTAAATTTAAAAAAATTTCGTAGGTTGCTATAAATGCAAAGTAAGGGAATTTAGGCCGGGGAGTATATTTTGTTTATCAAATAAAAGAATATTCACGGGGGAGGTGGTCATATGTATTTTCAATTCTGAATCTCTGCTTACGATTGTTTGGGACCGATAAATACGTAGACGAGAAATTAACTTCACTTTTAATAAAAAAAAAAGTGTGCAAAATATACAATCATATAGATATAAAGAGAAAGATTGTTTAGTGAAGCACTTTTTTGAATTAATATTAGCATGAATTGTTCCCAATGCAGGGAAACTCCACTTCGCTTAATCCGAGAAAAAAAACTCTTAAATGTATGGATTTTGAATGTCAGAAACATGCATGACGTTGTGTATCGCACTCATGAATAAATGTTATAATTACTTCAGTTCTGAAATGTGTATGGTTCATTGCAATTGATTCTCTAAAAAAAATTTATTCATGCATATAAAAAAAACCGATAAGTATATTATCATAACTTGCATGACTTTTAAAACACACAACAAAAGAACAGACCTTGCCCTATCGGCTATCACTTAATTGTAAACAGTATTTCACCCCCTCCTTTTTGTGCTACAATCAAGTAAAATCATATAAATAAGCACCAAGTCTGTACTTTTCGTTTATACAAAGGTCTCGGAGAAAAATGGAATTAAAAAATAATTATAATCACTGCACAAAATTCTAATTTTACAAAAACGCAAGCCGTAACGATATCCCTATGTCAGAATGTACTAATAATTGACCCGATTCTAAAACGAAAGTAGAACTTTTACACGTGGTTGACATGTATGTTCAATAACAACAAGCACAAAGTTTGCATTAATGGAAAAAGTTTATTCAAGTAAATGATTTATTTTATTTAGTTTTTTAATTGACTGACCGCATATAACATGTTTAAGGAGTGGCGCATAATATTAGAAGCCATATGCCCATGCATAGACTTAAAAGTGTATACAATAAAAAAAGAATTAGCCTAAAGAAAGACGTATATTTCATTGACTGAAAATCACTCTGCATAAGATTTATGTCATGTAGTGTATAATCCTTAAGCCTTAACAAATAAATTAAAAGAGATTGAGAGAGAGAGAAAGCTAGAAAGCGACACGATATAAAATTCGCAGGGAGGACATCGGAGAACTAGAGCGCGCTGTCTACATAATACATGAAAAAAATAATTTAAAGATGCTTCAATTTAATTATTTAACCCTGTCACATTCTTCTATAAAATAACAAAGTTTACGCTTCAAGACTGGATTTTATGAAAAATATTTAATACTGTCTTGTTAAAAATGAGAGCTTAATTTAAAAGTAATTGGAAAAGGGGGGGGGGGTTCAACTTAATATGCTCATGCATTTTCAGTTCTCCACACGGTAAAATAAATTAAAATTTGAAACCATTGACTGTATTGAAGTATTTAAGAAATCCACAAAAAGCTTTTGATGACAGTACACATACATGTGAGAAAAAATATGAGATGAGATTTTTTTGAACAAAAATTAAACTTTTTAAAAAAGTACTTGGGAAGAAAAACCACTGCAAATACAACAGAATAATTTTCCTCAGATAATGTCATCTACGTGTAAGGAGAAATTTAAAGAAAAAACATAAACATTTATGAAAGCTTATGTTAACATTATGGTCAAAAATTATTATAATGAAATTAATATATGAAAACTGAAAGCAAATTAATAAAATGTTACTTTTTTATTTAGAATAATTTATTTTGTAATTGACTCTAATGAATTTGTTAAAATGCTTAAAAAAAAAAACAAATAATCATTTCTTAGGCTATTTTAATCCATTCCCAGGTTAAAAACAATGACCACAGTAATTATCAGTAAATCTCAGCATCGACAGTACCTCAACAGTAATTATCAGCAATTCTCAGCAGCGACAGTACCTCAACAGTATTTATCAGAATCCACAGTAAAAGACGACAGTAATTATCAGTATTTATCAGCAACAACTAAAATTATCAGCAACAACAGTAATAATAACAGTAAATATCAGTAATTATCAGCAAGAACAGCACCGTATCAGTAATTATCAGACATTATCAGTAAAATTTGGGATTCTGAGCACTTTTTTCGTCCAGTAGTGTTTGTGACGTTAATTTAGTAGAACTGAGGACCTTAAATAACTCATTGTCAAGGATCAATGTTTAGGAACCCCGATCTTTCATATGGAGAATGAATTTCATAAATACTACAAATCCTTTCAAAGATGAAACTAGACGGGGGACTAAGGATTTCAAAGAAGACCTTGACACTTAGAGTGAGTGACTGATTAGTCATATATTGTTTTGGTATTATTGGTAGTCCTATTTGGTAACCAGGGCCATTGATTAGTGAGGGGATCTCATAAAAGTGTCGGTGCCTCCCGAATGAAGCTCCAAATGTTTAGGTTCCCCCTCTAAAAATGGACAGCTTTCGTCATACATTTCTTTTTATTTAGTATTCCCAACAAAAAGATTAATTCTAATTATAATTTCATTCATTTACGAATTAATGCTGTATTTTGATTTAAAGTCAGCCATTCGGATATGTAAGGTCTGTTCAATGATGACTTAATATTTAATGCAATTTATCGTACAATGTACGTTAAATGCCTGGGTTGTTTGACAGTGGATGGTTATTCATCTATGACGTCTGGTCCCATTGACACAACTTACACTTTTTTTTATAAATACACAGTATCTGCCAATTCATGATGCAAAGAAGATTTTTGTATCTTAAACAATGATCTGATTTGACCTTGCTTTATAAGAAAAATGAACATATGTACTGCCAGAACTGTAGAGTGACTTAAATACACCTTAACCACCTTACTTCATTCCCCATGTGCTTAAAAAGGACACGAGAGTTCAAAATAAAAGAATGACCTAGCTTAGAAATGCTTAATATTTATAGTGCAAATTACATGTAGTGAAAACAAAATAATCACTAAATTTAATTGCAAAGTACGACTTGTAAAATGTAAATAAATTGTATTTTAAAAATCCCTACCTTTTCACTATCTTGTCCCCAAAACTCTTTAGCTTTCTCTATCTCTGTTTCGAAAACACTCTCACATGACTTGCAATATGCATTGTTTTTTTCTGTTATAATGCAATGTTCATGGGAATTCTTTTCATAGCCATTTTTATTATTGCACAAATATCCGATTTTATGTTTTGTTAAAGATTTATAAAAAGTTTTTAAAAATTGCTCAAAAATCAAATCTAATTCTGTAATGATTGCGCGTCCATATTTTGTCGAATCTTCTTTCCGTCCGATGATTTGAACAGTGATAACCTTTTCCGATGTAAAGAGGTACACCTGCACTCCTTTTTCCTGTGCTCCATAACGCATATATGCACCGGTTTTGTACAAAGTCCTCCATATGGTGTCCAATGTTTAGTACTCAAACACTTCACAATCAATCTACCAAATAGATCATACGGCAGATACTGTTCAAATAGAAAACATAGAATTGGGGACGCCTCGCTGTCAGTCTTCAGCTTTTCTTTTGGACTGAACTTTACAGTATTCACACATGGCACATACCAACCACTTAAGTTTTCGTTATCTATTACAAAATTGTCTATGTGAAAAATTATTCCTAACTTATTCTGATATTCACCTAATATTCGTTGATGTTCCATATTTAGACTTGGGTTTTTTTCCCGTATCAAAGTTTGATAGAGTTCATCCTCCAGGAAACCTTTTTCTAAATACCATTTCCATTTCGTTCAACCGTTGATTTGACT